CAAGCAGTAGCAAGCAGATAAAATATTTATATATAATTTACTTTCTTCTATCTGTTTGAACAATGTATATAAGTTGTCAATTAATATTTACATAAATGGATCATACAATCATATTATAAAATAAGTGAAGTATGGATAATAATTTCTTATTTTGATATTTTTTTTTACAAAAATAATTGATTAAAAGAATACATTATATAAGATTATGTATAAAATAAAAATTCGCATAGAGACATTATCATGACACACCCGGTGTTTCCTGTTACCGCGATAATCATGTATTCGACTACCGTTCATATCACCGGTACACCACGAAGGAATTACGTGTACAGAAGCGTAAAAGTACTTCAACTTTTTGACTGTCAATATTATTGTCAACTAATCTAAGAACTCTCATCCTGCTTGAAAAAAACTTTGGCAAAAATATAGAAACCGATCGATTTTCTGATCCCGATTCAATTTTAAATATGATTAAATATGCGACGCAAATATAAAGATAACACGATTATTTGTCGCTAAGAATGTTACCGATAATCCTGATAACAATGAATACAGGTAGATATAGTTAATATCGTGTGTACAGCAGGAAGATAATTTTATCAGCTAGGACTCTTTTCGAGGTTAAGTTATTTCGAACTTGCATCGATCGTATGGTATATTGTACCACGTATATATATACATATGTATGCTATGTTATGTATTTACGTTAGATGACAATTGAAAATATATGCAACTACGAAGATTGATCGTAAATTAACGACAATTAAGATCATAAATTTATAAACTATTAAGAAGAATTATTTTAATCGATTATATTTTTTTTGCGTGCACGATCTATTATAAATTTTTTTCTGTTAATCGATTCAGATTTTTTCTTTACAAGAATAATAACAGATTCCTTCAGGTAAAAAATTTGTTTTTTAAAAAATGTCTATTAATTTTAAAATACATTAAAATATAAAACGTATCTATTTTTTTGTAAAGAGAAAATATATTCAATGCCATGAGTTTTAATCAGGACTAGGTTGTGATTGTTCGCTCGTTGCAAAGGAACAAATAATCATCGTGGTGCCTCGCTGTTGCATTGCTTTGTCAGGTAAATGAGGTTTATCGGTTTTCGATGGTGATTTTTCATTGAACGAAAGGGGACAAGGCAATTTCGGTCGGCAATTCCTTGATGTTCGAGCAATGATGAAGCTTCAGAGAAAGAGAAATTTTATGCTATGTTACAATTTCGCCGGGATATTATCGAACCGAATGGCTCATGTCGGACCTTCTTACGATGAAGTATGACGATGACAGAAGGGGACGTAACTTCATTAAGGAACCCCAGGTCAGTTCACGTCGCTACGAGGGATTCGACGAAACGCGTTTCTACGTTGCTCAAATCTATGCTTCGTAAAGGAAAATTACGAACTCTCGTTATATTGTACGCCAACGAGTTTCAGCTTAGAGTTTCTCGAACGCGTGGAATAGATCCTGTGGTCTCCATTCACCCGGAGAAACCCGTGGGTTTGATATGTCGCCTTTATCGAAGAAAGAGTCGATCTATTGTCCGTGACGCATACAAGAACCAGTAAAAGCAAACACACGACACGGTGGTCCATTTGAGGAGAAAAGAGAGAAAGGAAATGAGTTGGATGCGCGAACGGACAGGTATAGAGAGACTTGGCAAGACGATTACTATTTCGAACAAATTATTTCCTCGTAGTCAATGTATCAATTATTAATGACTTTACTTCACGAGTTGAATGAAGTGAATTGCAATGTATTGAAACGAGAAGGTGAAAATATGTTATCATAGAGATAACAAGATATATAGATAAATAAAGATTCGTCACGATACGCTTATGATACAGAGGAAAAAGCTTCTTATCAATTATGTCACGATGTGACTAATGCTTTCTTTGAAAATGACGAAAGAGAGGAAAAGGACAAAATTCTTTGTTTTCTTTTTCTTTTTTTTTCTGCCAACCCTCGTTTTTGTTCAACATTTCAATCACATCGTCGATTTCAATTCAACAAACTCTAAATTGTAAGATTCTAAATGAAGTTGCGACTTACAGGCAACCTGTAATTACATCTAATTATTTTTCATCATTATGAATACTTATCCGAGCTCCTTATAAAGATACGTCGATGGAGGAACATCGTAATTAATAAAAAGAAGGAAGAATTGGAATGACTGCGCCGATCGAACAGTGAAGCGATCGGTCTTCGTCTTTCGTCAATGTTCGTTCCATTTCCCTCTTTGTTCCGCGGCCAGTTAGTCGTCTCTTTTTGAGCGTGGTCGAGTTCGCGACAGGTGTCTCTCGGCCGAGAACCGGTCTAGCGAATCGAAAGCGTTTTCTTCTCGAATCGCTCGAGGCTAATTCAGTCTCGGAGACGTTGCGATGCTCGAGACGGATTCGTTCGATTAATTCGTGGCAAGGATCCATCTTGGAAAAAAGAAGAAAATAATCAGCGTCTTCAGTGAGCGAGATTCTCGACAAAGTCTTTCGCGATGAAAAGACATCAGAGGTAGTCTCTTTACAAAAGCCAAGTATGATGAGCGCTCTGAATATCGAGGAACGCGTTATGACAGAAAGAAAGAAAGAAAGAAAGAAAAAGTAAAGGAACGACGAAGGGAGAGCAGCCACCATGGTTATGGGAGAGTCCCATGGTATGGGCCGGTCCGAGCTAAAGATAGAGACGCAGCTGCAGAGGCAGGGGTGCCAACAGGTCGATACTCCATAACGCGTTACATCGTTTGCATCGCGATAGCGCCGGTGCTACTCGGTTATCTCGCGCTCTTGTCTCTCTGCCAAAGGAGCACTCCTCGAAGATGAAGTCTCTCGAGTGCTCGCCACCCATCCAAGGGGTGGAAAAGTCGCCTCCTCTCCCTGTTTCCGTCCATCAGACCACTACCAGTAACGAACCACTATCCGACGAACGATCGTACTACCGGGGAACGACTATTTCGCAACCGAAGCTTTCCAAGAATGGGCTGGCACGCGTCTCAAGAGGGACTCGCGAAACTTTGGATTCCACGACTCGCTTGACTACCAGTAAGTCGTAAAGACGAACTGTCGGCGGCGTTTTCTTTCATACACGACGGGTCGAGCACGCGTTTCAAAAACGTTTGCACGCAATTTTACACGTTTACTCTTAAAAGAGTGCTTTTACTACTTGGCGCTCGATAAGTATCGCGGATAGGAAATGACAACGATGACGCGACGTGTCTTTATAAAAGGAACGTGTCGCTACGTATCACACGATGTAGCCATGACTTGCATCTAAAGATCATATCGCGCACGTTTCGAGAGTACGCGATGAATGTTTCCGATATGAGCGAGTATCTCGCATGCCCCCGAGATACGATGCCCTATTTGTTTTTTCGTTCAAGTGCCAACACAACCGTATAACAAATATTTTAAACTTACTCCTTCAACCAAAGGATTCAACGATAAATGGTCATACATTTTTTTTGCGATAATTTTAAACGTCAACGCTTCGTCCCGCAAGCTGTCTATTTATTCCACCATTCTTATAATTCGTAGAAAAATAATTATTTGCCGATATCGTCACTTCCTTACCTTATTGGAAAAATATCAGTTCTTGTGCAACGTCTACGAAAATTATACGGGAAATTACGGATAAAACAGAAACTCGAAGATTTTTTACAACAACCGTAGTAACAGCTCTCGCGTCAAGGTTCGCTCGAGCGACGAATCGTTGTTAAAAAGACACATTAATTAAACACCTTGGATTAAAAGTCGAGTTCGCTAATTAGCGTTGGCGAAGGCGGATAGAAGAAAGGGCGCGGTGGACGAGAGTAGTCGCGCGTAAAACCGCCAAAAGCGAAGCCACAGTATCGTTGAAAACGTGCCGTTTTAAAACGGCGCTTTGCCCGTTTTGCGACACGTCGCTAATATGCACCGGGTTACGATTGTATGCGCGCGTATCGCTCGTGCGAGTCAATGCGGTGGTTTCGTTGCCGAGTTATAATTAGCAGTGTCGCAGGGCCGTCTACCGTCTACTCGCGAACC